GGGAAGGTGATGACTGGAGACAAAGGGCCGAGTCCGTGGGGATGGCACCGGCCCTGCACATGGGCTTTCTGCGCCCAAAAACTCGGTAGAGCTGCGGAGCCGTCCCGCTCCGACCCCTTTAGAGAAGTGGCGGAGGTGCCGTAACGCTGCACGGGGCCGAAGGGGGGAGGCTCTGGCTCAGTGAGCGCCCATGTGCAGGAGCTGTGAACTTCAGCACAGCCGGCTCTGGATGCAGCGTGCTGGTGTTTTAAGGAGGAAGTTCACAGAGTCATCATTGTCATCACAGAGTGGTTTGGCTTGGAAGTGACCTTAAAGGTCATCTAGCTCCAACCCCCCTGCCATCAGCAGGGGCACCTTCCACTAGACCAGGTTGCTCAAAGCCTCATCCAGCCTGGCCTTGAACACTTCCAGGGAGGAGCAGCCACAGCTTCTCTGGGCAATCTGTTCCAGTGTGTGACCACCCTCACAGTGAAGAATTTCTTCCTAATATCTAATCTAAACCTCCCCTCTTTCAGTTTAAAGCCATTACCCCTTGTTTTGTCGTTAACTGCCCTTATAAAAAGTCCCTCCCCAGGTTTCTTGTAGGCCCCTTCAGGTAGTGGAAGGCTGCTATAAGGTCTCCCCAGAGCCTTCTCTTCATCCACTAGCAAAAACTTTCTTTTTTTTTTTTCCATAGATTTTCAGAGTTAAAACTTGGCTTTTCAATGAGAACTAGCAATGCCAGCATGGAACTGCCTTAGTTTCTTTAATAATGCTAATGACTATGTAATTTGCTTACATTAGAAAACAACTCTTGAAATCAGGTTATCTGAGACTTTTTTCCCTTAATATCAAGGACAGATTTGTATTTTCCTGTTAGATGCTTGTGGGGAAAATGATCTTTTGATTTGCTGCAGGCTAATTAAACCTTGAACATCTCACTATAGAAAGGGAAGTTATGCCACCAGTTCATGAGTCATAGTTTTTTAAAAAAATAATGCAGTGATGCGTGACTGGAATTTCACCATGTGCTTTCTTTTTGTAAGTTCTCTTTAGCAGGTGTTTTTGCACAAGCTAGAACTTCTCTGTTTGAAGTGACAGAAATGGCTGAGTGAACTCTGTTCAGCTTCTGAATGTATCAGATTTCTTTAAGTGATACCAAAATAGGTTCTTTTCAATTTAATGGTCTCATTCCATCTAGAGAAGGGCATCTCTCTTGAGAGTGACTGTAACAGTCAAGTAGCTTTGTCCATCCTTATCTTCTTATTCTACCCCAGTGGCAGCTGCTACTGTAGGTCATTGTAACATGCTGTGACAGCCCCAGATTGCCTTGGAAATCAGTTGACCAGTGCTGATGAAGTGCTGTTTGTGTGTGGGCATACTGAAAGGAAAGAGACAATCTGACATATAAATCTGGTGGTGGAAACCAACTGGGATCACCCCAAAAGAAAAGGGTTGGGTCCTAGGGCTAGAAGAAGCCTTTAGGATGCAGATGGGTGCGATGGGTGGAGTGCTGGGTTCCAGTGTGGCAATTCGGGCATGATCTCTGGTTGGGTGCCCTGGAAGATGTTACTTTTGTCAGCTTCTCTGGCCCGCAAAATAGGTTTAATGAAACTGGCTTTTCTTGAGTAGGACTGATGAAGTGTAGGTGATGCTGTGCAGTATCATGTGCAGTCAAGTTTCTGCATCACTGAACTGTACCTTCTTCTCAAGTTCAGTCTTGAGAGAGAATGTGCAGCTTCCTGTTAACCACTCACAGCAGCGCTAACTTTTTTGCCTAGTTCTGATTTCTATGTGTGAGCTCTTGCTCGCCTCAGTCTTTGGATTAAAAAGTGAGGTCTTTTACTATGTGATCTAAGTTACAGGGTTGCTTGTCATTTTTCATCAAGTCATCTCTCAGTCTCTCTGACTAGGTGGACAGAAGGATTATAAGGTTTTATGTGCAAAGTCTCAAGCAATAATAAGATACAGAAGTATCAAGTCTTTCTTAAGAGAAAGCAATTTCCTTGTACCTTCTAATGATTTGGTGTTTTTTTTTCTAGGTCTCTAAGAGTGCTTGAGTTGTTAACCAGAGAGATTTAGCTGTTATTACCAAGTCTATTGCTTGAGAGATAAATCAATGGTGGACTAAGATCCTCATGAGCAAGAATGAAGGAGCTCCTTACGCTGCCAGTGCCTCAAGTGCTGTTCCTAAAATCAGTGTAACTGTTCTAGGACTAGTTGGGGCAGTCCTGCATTATGTGATCCTGTGCAAGATGTGTTAGAGTGCCTGCTATGCAAGAGGTGTGGGCAGTTGGCCTAGGAGTTTTCATGAGAAAGAGTGGAAAGAGGATGTAGCTGATTGTTGGGGTCCCTATGGAAGGTCTGCTGATCTGGTACCAGTAGTAGTCAGGGTTGCAGCTTTGACCAAATGCTCTCTGGAGAGCTGTAGTGGGAGTGGCATAACTCCAGCTAGCTTTAGGCACAGAGAATATATTGCATGATCCTTTGGAATCATGATGTGAGGAGGGAAAGCGTATATCTTGCTTTAACTTACTTTTTTCTGGTCAAAGCAGAATCCCTTTCCCTATTTGGGGGTTTTTGGGGGGGTTTTTTGGTTGGGTTTTGTTTG